GTGACCTCCAGTCAGATGCGGTTCCAGCAGTTATATCCAAAAATCAGTGGTCTGAGCATATTTAAACTATGACTCAGCCGGGTGATGTGCTTGCCAATTCACCAGACTATCTCCATGCCGATCAATTAGATGCATGCTCTGCTTTAGCTCTTATGACGACTAAGCCTTTCATTTATTACTCGTTTATTGAATCTTTGTGACAATATAAAGAAAAGACAACAGACAAATATACTTGCTAGCACTCTCCCTATTTTTGGAATGTGAAAATCTTGAGATCACCATATTAAAAATGATTTTTTTTTAAACTATGGTCTTGAGCCTGCTTATCTGATAAAATCTATTAATGAGAAATTACAAGATACCTACAAGTTGTTCTTGCCAGACCTGCCAGGAGAGCATTTCATTCGTCTCATACATTACTTATGTATGATTAAGGCAATTCGAAAAGTGATACTTTAATCCTGTGTTAATAAAAATGTCTAATTATCCCCATACACATGGGCAAAGTCCTAAAAGGTGTATTCTTGGGATTCAGGAACAAAAGAACTTTCAGAAAATCAGAAGAAAGATGATGCATTAGATAGGGTTAGTAGGAGGACCGCTATTTCTGTCCATAATCTGAAACTGTGCATTAGACGTGTATGTAAATGATTAGCATGATTAGAAACGATTATTAAAACCAGCACCTATTAGATGTAGTGCTTGTCATGGTGAAACCACGTTTCAAAAAAGGTAAGAGATTGGATTCCTCTCATCCATGCACTTTTCATTCATTTACAGCTGATCGACATGGATGAGGATCAAAAACGCCCTTTGAATCTCCGTGGATCTTGAAGAGGGACGATGGGTCAAGAGAAAGCAAGACACACACACAGGGTGAAAGAAAGGGACCCTTTTGTGGCTCTGTAAGTTACAGAAAGGCCACGAGACTCCTGAAAATGAAATGCAACTTCTAAAGCAGCACAAGAACAACAAATTGGAAAGCTCTTCACATTATCAAGGTCATGTTCAAACCTTTCCAACACTGTGACACTATACCAGAGCACGGTGCACTGAAACAGATGTAACAGAGTTTTTGAGAGGATAAATTACATTGAGACTTTCTGATGTCACTGAATTCTGGTAATTATGTTCCTCGGCTTGCTGAGCAGCCAGCCCCTCAGCCTGCTGCCAGCATGCAAAAATGAGTGGCTTGGGTGAATTTCAAGCAACAAAAGGATCACCCTAATGGGCCACAAATATGAAAAATGTGCGGGATGTTGTACCTTTAAACTACTGTTGCAAGCCAAATTCTGGCTCATAATGAAGCACAAATTTCATAAACCCCTAAAGGACTGCGAACCAAAGTGTGCGCTTAAGACAAGTGTTTGAAGTATTTTTGAGATGTTTTTCCTACATTGTGCAATAAAGTAAAGGAAAAAGATATACTTTCCTCAAGCACTAAAGTTCACTTACAGAGACCCCAAAATTTCTAAAGTCACAAGCAATAAATTTTGTTTTTAAATTAAAAACTGATGAGCCATTAACTGCTCTCGATAAAAGTGGAGATTCTGGGAAAATTGAAAACGGAGAATAAGTCTGATTTTCAGCTTCAGATGGAGAACAATTCTTTTCATATACAAAAACCTTTTGATAGACACTCGTTGTTACGCCTGGGGTTTTGTTACAATATTTTTGCAGTTTATCGATTACTATCTCTGTTCATTGGCTAATATTTTGTACCTGTCTTATTTTCATTGCCTACTTAAAATTCACTGAACCAAAAACTCATACAAACGACTCTTGGAATTTAGCTTTGAGTTTCTGTGACTTTGAGAACCCATTGATCCAAATACGCTCCCAAATAACTGCGTGTCAAGCCTTTATAGCTGGGTTAATTCACTTTATGGCCTTCTTAATGTATGAGGTTTTATGTTTTACTGTATATCTGCTGGTTTGAGTGTGCTCTGTTGAATTAAATGCATATGCGGTTCAAACAGGTCCAAGGTGACAATTGAGGCTAATTTTAAAGCACTTTAAACATTATTATCCAAAGTTTTTTTTCTTTATGAAAAGCCAGAAGTCAAGAAAACAGAAACCATTCTTTTTAGAAAACAGGATATTTGGCAAAAATAGAGGTTTGGCATTAGCATCGTGGCTCACTAAAGAGCATCAATGAGGAATGTGCTGGTGCGGGACACACGGTGACCCTCATGCACACCAAGCTTTTCCCACCGAGCAGGCACTGGAGCAGGGTGCCCCAGTTTAGAAAGTGAAATCAAGAGGTACTGAAATTACTTTTTCTTTAAAATGGCATATGCAAAGATTTGAGAATCCAGCTTAAGAGGTAACCAGCTCATTATCGGCCTTTTGCCTGCACTCAGCAGTTCAACGGCTGAATCCTGGTTTTGTTTAAAGAGCATTAACAATGTCTTTAATGAACCACACACAAGTACTTTGTAGCTCACTATCCTGATTGTTGCAAACCCCCCCCACATTGTCTGTCTATCTTTCTTTTTTAGTATCCCAAAGGGACAGGCATCAATAAAACTTTTTATCATCCAGGTGAAGGAGACAACGTAGGCCTTTTCCAGGGAAGGACTTCAATGAATGCTTAACTTAAAGCATGAACATAAAGTTAGGAAGATAAATGGGACAACACAAGTACTTATTTCTTCACACTGTTTAAGTAGCTCAGTGATCTAGGGATCCTTGCAAATGGTGCTGAGGTACGTATCGAGATTGCACACCATAATCCACTTACTAACACGGAAACAAAATGCAGAAAACACCATTTCCAGGCAGAATATTCAGTAAAACACCTTCCCCACAGCAAACTAACTCACATTACCACAGGACATTTGGACAGGTTTCAACCCTGTTTCCTCAGAGTTACTCGGAAACCACATACTCAGGTCTACAGACCTGGCCAGTTCACCAACATGTCTCCATTGCCATCAACAAGAAGCAAAACAAAATACACAAGAAAACAGTAAGCCCCACACACTTTTATCAGCCTCCTAGTTCATGCTTATTCTTTGGAGCACAGTAACCTTTAGAAACAAGCCTTCCATAGTATTTTCATGGCATTAAATACAAAAAGGGATTATCTTTGCTGACCGTGTCTGGGAAGACAACATTGCCATCACAGATATTCACATGCTTTCAACACCCAGGACAGACAAAAGCGTCGGGACTCACGGAAGGCTGTATAGAGCTCCTGCAGGGTTAAGCGGCCGTCATTGTTGTAATCATCAAACCGGAGAAGGTCTTCTAGTGTACAATCCAATAAATCATCTTCCAGGTCCTCCTTCTTCATTAGCTGTAGCAAAGAGAACAGGTAATCTTACATGTAACGTAAAGCTACAGACTGTTGCCCTGGCTCACCCAGCAGATTTTCCATTCCTTTGGGGAGATATAAGTAGATATATCGTATCTATTGTTACACATTTGCTTTGTATCAACATACATCTGATATTCACATTCCTGCAGCAATTCATGGGCCATGGACTGGTGAGGGCGAGGACCCTCTTCCTTCAGCAGCAGCACAGAAACGCGTTTTCACTTTGCAAACGTACTGAAAAATAAATATTCAACAGGGAAAAAGGAAATTCTGTTTCTCCTTTCTCCTCTGTAGGTAAGGACAAAATTGTCTTCCTTGTTTTCAGGACAATGGGCAGCCGTGGATGGTGTATTCAACACTAATGTGTTTTTTCCAGCCCCGACAGTTTGTTTTTTATGTATTGTAAACATTTCACATTAAAAACAAAGAGACCTTTAGAAGTCGTACATCCAAGTTAAGCCAATAGCCAAAATCAGACCTAAGCATAATGAAAATGTTATGTTACTGTAGAACGTGAAGAAAACTGCTGAAATGTTGCATCTTCTGGGCAGGAAGGCTTTTTGCTGTAGTTCAGAGACTCTTTTATTTACTATTCTAGTCTTGGCCCATTATATTGAAGCAATTTAAAGTAATACTACTAAAAAAATGACCCTTCACCTACCAAGTGAAAATGTTCAATAAAAGTGAGATCAACCATAACTTCCAAAGATCAATCTTCTAAAGATGGAAATTTCCCTTTGTCTACCTTTGTATTGAAAATTGATTAACTTCTCATAAGACTGACAAGTTTTTACTAGTCCTTTTGATTTAACATCCAGAAAAAAAAAATCCAACACAAAACACTTCAACTGCAACAAATTCAGTAGATTTATGAATCTGACTTTAAAATACATTAATGTTTTAAATGGAAATAACATTCCAATTACCACCGTTGTTAATAGCCCTGCACACCCACGGCCGCAAAACTACACGGGCATTTCACACTGCTGGGTCCGGAGGGAAACTATTCGATAGGGTCTGCCAGCAGCCAGGAGGTAAAGCAGCTCTAAATAGAGGGGGATGGACTATCTGCTGCCATCTTTTTGCTCAAAGCAATTCTGTTGTGGAGAACAAACAAGTGGGCAAAGATCCTCACCACCTCCCAGTGCTAGGTGCTGCCCCGATGTGGGACTGCCCTCTCTGGAGGGATTCTGCTTCCAGTTTCTCCTTTGGGGTAAATCCCACTGCAATGAGCCTCCTCAAGATCCCTCTTCAGATCTTAAAAATGACTTTTTTCTGCAGCAGTACATGTTACCTGCCTTGAATTTTTCCTTGCAGACACGGTTAGAGTGCTCAAGAGACTATTTTTCTTTTAAATAAAACAAAGAAAATGCACAGCAGCAGCTCATCCAGCAGCCAGAGAGAACGAGATCCCACTGCACCACGTTCATTTCAGCTGCCTCCACCCATGGGCAATGAAATTCCTGTCTTTGGGGGATTTTTAAAGTTGCAGAGATCTCCAAATTAAAGAGCCAGCACAAATCAATCACAAATCTACCTAACAAGGCAAGACAATTTCTGTTGTCTGTAACACGGAAAATTAAAAATTGCTCATTACCTAAAAAAAAAAAATTCCTTGAAAACTGGGTGAATAAACTGGTCACATAAGAGCACATGAAAATCACCTTGTTGTTAGAGCTAACAAGAAAAATAAAGACTTGACACGCTACACATCAACTGTGAATACTGTCACTGTGCGAGCTCCAGAGCTGCCCTGCAGACGTGTCCTCAGCCCGGTTGGGACTTCAGCCAAGGAGCTGAAGACTGGGAGTTATGTTGGGACTCCCACCAAGCTGGGACTCCCACCAAGGGGCCCAAGGTCAGTGCCACTCAGCTCAGGATTAAAAGTATTCCTGGTTTATCTGTAGTCTGCATTAACTGGCATTATTTTGTCTTTTGAGAGGTGATCGTGCTGTCAACTCGGCAATGCTGATGGCAAGCCTTTGTGGAGGATGTTTGAGTGAGAGGGCTCCTAGCTGAGGGCTGAAGTTATTCTGGTCCATCAAACTGAAGCGGGCTCCAGATGTGTAAGCGCATTTACCGATTTTGATAACAGTGAGAAGAATTAAAATAGTAGCCAAGGTCTATGCTTGCTCTTGTGAGAGAGACCTGGGCTCCAAGCACATCTGCAAATGAAGCCCATAGTAACTTTGCGGCAGACCTTAAAGCACTGAATCCTGCTCCTTTAAAATGCAGGTCATTGTTTCTTCTTAATGGTAATGGCTTGCAGGCTGCCAAACCTTTATTTCCATGCAAGTTGAGTTTTAATATCCTGATGGAATAAGTTTCATGTATAAAGGGGAAAAAAATTGGAGAGTAGAACAGACACTTAGATGTCACTATGCAAAAGCTGGCTTTGAATTCAGATAAAAGTGTTTTCTTATACCTACCCATGTCTTTATAAAAAAATCATTGCATTTAGATGAAGTATTGTATATTCATAGCTGAGATCTAAGGGAATTCACGCTGACACTTTGCATTGTGCAGAAAGGATCGTGCATCATGTCAACAGCCTGAGGATTAAAATTCAGTGCAAACTGTCCTACACAGGAGCGAGCTCAGGGAGGAGCGAGCTTGCATCTGTCCTCCTGCTTGCTCACAGCTTGCATTTACACGCTGGAACTGCGACGCACTTCATGTTTGCTGGGAAGCATGAGCGCAGATGAGATGCTCCCGCAAAGGGTGAAGTACCAGCTTTGGAAACTGGAACAGGTCCCAGGCAGGTATTGGCTTCCAAAAGGCTCTTAAAAGGCGTTTCCTTCTAATTCTTCTCATGGATGACACAATGAAAAAGAAAAGACAACATTTTCCCACATCTGGCATAATGCTTTTTCTCGTATTTACAGGACTGTTTTCTGAGGTCTGCGTGTGCAAAGAGCAAGTTCAGGGGACAGAGTAATCGGCTCGAGTGCCTGGGCTGCACGTTCAGTTCATTTTACCGATTAGATGAATTCCAACAGCACAGCATGCCCATAATTAGAAATAACAGGGTTTTTTCAAGCTCTCACCTTTTCTATCATCATTAGGTTCTGCTAATCAACATTTCAGCATCTGCCTAGGGATTTTTGGAAAATAAACCTGTTAAAAAATATTCCAACTTTGCTGTCATGTTACTACATGCTAATGCACGGTCCAGAAGGCAGGGAGGAAGAATTAAGAGCTTTCTGCCTAACTTACATGCACCTAAAAAATCCAAATTAATTCTCCACAAGCCGGCTAGCTGGAAATACTTCAGAAGATAACGGTTAGCAGCGAGGATTAGTATCTATTTTCAGGAGTATGGATGGGTCTGGAAAGCTGCCGTGTTTTTTGTTTGTAGAGGAGCTTCAAATGTTTGAGACAACACCATCTCCCCAGAGGTGCAGAGAGAGACTCGCATGCTGTAGTAGATTTTTCTCCTTTACCTGCTGCCGGCCGGACAGTTACAAACGACCGTTCTCACAAGAGTGCTGCTGCATTACATTCAATTCACACTTTGAATGAAAAATGCAATCTACTTCATAATTCCATTTTCATCGAACAATAAACCCACCTGAGCCAGTTCAGAGCTGCTGAGATGCCCGTCACTGTTTATATCCAAGTGCTTAAACATATCTTCAACTAAGAAGCGCTTCTGGGATACTCTGTCCTTGGCCAGGCTGCTCAGCGGGCTCTGCCGATGAGCCTGCAGGTCCAGGAGGATGCTTTTGAGCCGGCTGTAGTCTGCCATTGTACACGTGTCACCTAAAAGATAAGACCGCATTACCGGACCACGTACGATCTCCATGATCTTTTTAAAGGACTGAGCTCCTAAAGGGAAAAATAAGGCACAGTCAAAGACAGGCTGCCTGCATATACAGCAGTACTCAGCTCTGCACTGGAGGAGCTCCTGTAGTCGTTTCTTTTTGTAATAGCTGGCAGTTTTTCTAAATCCTGCTGTCAAGGATGCTCTCCAGCATGTTACCTTCCAGATTATAGGGCTTCGGTTACAGATTTCCACACTCGGCCTCGTAATCCTCACCCATGTTAAATTGGCTCTGCATTTTTCTAAAGATAAATTCATCTATCCTGTGATTACAAAGTTAAAAATAAACCTGGGGAAGCTGATGTTTAGAAAGCACCACAAACATAAACAAATGGCACCCCTGAGTGTCACCCTGTGCCAAACATGGGGCTGATCTTAAGGAATCGTTAAAGGCAGCCCAAGGTGACAAGACAGCTAGAGGGAAGACAGTGAGTAGCGCAGGGCTGTGGGGAGCCCCTGTGGCTGGGGTGTCACCGGTGCCTGCGCACATCACCCTGCTGCAGACTGACATAAATGCTTTCCTCAGCCCCTGACCAGGGAAAAAGGTTATTATCACGGAAAAGCCCTCAGGGCACTCGCTCTGAAGTGACACCGGCTTGGCTGGAGGAATCAGATTGAACTTTCACAACCCTGAAAGCTCCTGCTGTGCTCGCAGCAGCCAGCTCTTCTGTGGTTCTTCTCCGGGGAACGCCTTGCTCTGATTTAAGGGCATCCTCCTAGAGGAGAAACATATCCACATGGCCAAAGTGGTATAAGATGTTATGGCCCTTTTCTGCTCAACTGCTGTCTGGCAGAGCTTGGCAGAATGAAGAATGGCAACTGTCTTTTTTGTACGAATCTGTTTGCTTTAGTGTAGACCACAGCGGCTGGTGCCTTGCAGGAACCTGTTTGACTCTGCCTTGGAGGAGACCCTGGAGCACCCTCATGCTCCGGCTGTCCCACACTGCGTGGGCATCAACCACCACCCACCAATAGTACCGACACATTCAGCTGTTCCCGTTAGATGCCCTTTTCTCTATAATGATGGTTTTAAAACAACTTCTTTATTTTAAGTCCCATCACTGACCCTGTTGGATTAAATCTGAGGGAACCTGGTCTCAGCTCAGTTTAAGGGACAATACCCGCGTAGATCAGCTCCCCAAAGACTCCAGACATCATTCCTCTGAAAAATAACAGAAGACTGGCATACTGACAGCTAGTGTTCCTGTCCTTTTCTTGCTGAGCTGCACCATTTTTGGTCCTCTGGTCCCACTCCAACTGAAACCCAATTAAAATTCCAGGTGGGAGGCATTTCTCTGACAGCAAACCCATCTACTGTCAAGATTTTTTTTCACCCTTCATATTTTGTGCTCACAACTTCAAAAGCACCATGACTTGAGAAGGTGAGAGAGGACACAGAGGCTGGACACGCGTTCACCAGTCAGGTCAGTGCCCTACTGCTACACAAGCAATAACTGCAAGACAAGGCTTATTTTCCACCCTGAACTCAGACCCTTCTAGTTTTGAGAGTCTCTCACTGCTCAGGGATACTAAGCAGCTGCAAGATTTTTCCTTCTCTCTAAACAACCTCCGAAGAGCTCTTGGTCCCACATGGGATCAGTCTCATTTTATGGAAAAATGAGGCTACTCAGGTACTACTAGTCTTGTTTATTACTTCTGCTTTTTTTTTTCCCCCCAACCATGTCATTTGATAGCTATATGAAGGCAGGATGAAGAAATGTCTGTCTTCCAATCACGTACTCATTTAAGAGAAAAATTGATTGCCGTATCCAGTGTAATCAAGCAATTCTGCAATCCTATTGTAAATACCATTTTAGCTACTGCAATAATAGTTTTTTCTGAGCTGGAGTTTTCTTTTCTCTTCAGTCAATTCTTAATCCCAGAGATGTATCTAAGGCTAATGAAGACAGGGAAATCTATTTAATTTGCTTCCACCTCTGTTTCTGCTTTGTGGTTTCCATTCGTGAGCACAAGCATGGCTACAGGCAAGCCACAGGGTGACACCCGGCTGGGCTGACCCACTTACATGGTCCTCCCCGTGGTGGAGACCACTGCCAGAATCTGCGTGTGCATCGCAGCCACCAGATCTACTCACCCTGACAGCTCCCTTTAAGCCCTTTTTATTTCTCACTTCTTCCTCCTATCGACTTTTGCCAGTAGCATATACCAAAACAGCTCTTCCTTTACACCCTCCAGACCTTTTATTTTCTGCAGTTAGAGGTTTTTTTTTTTTTCCAGATTCTCCCTAACTGTTGCCTGGGGCAGTGCTTTCCCAGCCTTCCTCCCTTGCTGGCCTTCTGACTCACCTCCACCTTAAGTTTCTTTCGGACCACAAAAGGCAGAATTAGAAAAGGACCTAAGTGCTTCTGAAGGCCCCTCATCTCTTCTAACAGCCCTTCTCACTTTATTAAGCTTATATTGACAACTTCTGTGGCTAACAGCTATCCCTGGCACCAGCCTGATACCATGCACCTGCCTGGAGAATTAACTGGGTGTGATAGTTCTTTAAACACTGGAGCCTCAGCCAAAATCCAGCACAACTGCATGTTTAAACAGAACTCCCAGAGTGACTTGTGTGTTAATGCAACGGCAAAATATAAGCAATATGTGCAAGGAGCAGATGTTTGAATCCAAACTTTGCATCTCTATTCCTGCACTTGTGGGACCTGAGCGGGTCACCCACTGGTGATGCACCCAGGCTCTTGACTGTGTTGCATAGTGTGAGCCAGGAGACGGCGATCTCCTTTCGCTGCATTACAACCCTCCTTGGTTCTTCCATGCTCTGAAAACAAAGCCACGACAAAACTGCTTTTCTCGAAAAAGTACACACTCATCTGGGCTGCAAGACAGCCAGAGGAAAGTGTGCCCATTTTGGGACTTTCAGAGGGTCACAGCCATGCTGCAGCATCCAGGCAAATGTGACGGGCACAAAGAGTGAAATAAAAGAAACCACAGAAGGACAGAGCTGGTGACAGCCTCTGGCAGCAATTCCCATAATCCTGCTATAAACTCACAATACTTTTTCCCCACCACACTACTGTCGTATCCAGGGTCAGGGACTGTGCAGAGTATGGGACCACATGGTCAGGGACCATACCCAGCAGAGCCCCATCCTGTGTAGCAGGATAATGCCATTCCACTGCATACACAGCAAAGAAAACCAGCAATAAGACAATTATGTCTCCTATTTAAAAAATAAGTTCTGTTTCACATGTTGTTAGCACACACCACAGTCGGAAGGTGCTCTCGGTCCCTGTTAAAACTGCTCCAAAACCTCATTGCCTTCACTTCTCTCTGGAGAAAACCACACTCTTCAGCTCTGCTGGAAGCAGATCCCTCAGCATCACTCCACAGTGTAAATGTGACAGACTCCATGGGTCTCACACCTCTGAACATTTTCCCCTGACATCTGAGGGTTGCAGTGACACACGAGCAGTTGCTTCAGAGCACGGCACTGTATAGCTGCTCAGCAGCGCTCGATGGGCAAAGTGATGAGTAAATGCAATAAAGTTCTGTCCCAGGGGTGCAAGATTAATAATTTGTTCTTTGGCTGAACTAAAAGATTGATAGGAAAACGCACTAGAACTGTAATATATATATCTATGCATATGTGCATATAAATATGTATAATTTATATACTTAATCTCACTGTAGTGGAAAAACAGGGGGAAAACCACTCCAGGTCAAAGGAGGTCCACTCTGTCTGACCTAAAATTATGACTTTATACTAAGTCTGGCCAAAGTGTTAGTTCCAAAATCATCAGTTTGAGCTGATGTTTTGCTGCGTAACCTGGACTTAATGCTATTTCAAACTCAACTTTAAGGTACTGCAGTGACCAGACGCGGATGCTGGAGGCCCCCTATAAAAGACACTGCCTGCTCCTCCGCCATGGAAGGGAGGAGACGCATTCAGAAAACTTGAATCATTTGGCAAGCCCGTGCCAAGGACAGCTAGGCTCTCCTGTGGTAAAGATCCTTCCCCTCCTTTGCTAGGCGTTATTCTTCCGTCTTTTAACCTATCTCCCCTACAGAGACTGCTAACAGTCATTTTTCAGAGCTGTTGTATAGGTCTTGCAAAGGACAGCTCTGTATTTTCTCTCCTTCCCACCCGCCCATCTCCCGCTGTCGATGACACTTGTAATCTTCTTACATTGTGCCTGGGATCCACCAGCTTTATCTGCTAAATACTGTCTCCAGGTTTCCAGCAGCACTGCTGCCTTTTGCTTGTTTGCTGCTCTTCCAGGTAGTACAACCATAGCTGTTAAATGAAAAGAATCAGAGAAAAACCATCTGTATGCCCTCTCACTTATCCCCATTCTTGTCTCCGCTTTGCTAAGTGCCCCCAGCAGTTTCCTTTGCGACATGAGCTCATCATTAGCAGTTTATCTCATCTCAGACTGCTCTCATTGGTAGGTCTCATTAATGGATGTCTCTCAGCTTGGTTTCCTTGTTAGCGCTTCCCAGAGACTAGGATTCTGTTCGCAGCTGCGACCAGCTCAGACAAGTTTTGTATTTCCAGAGGTGGCTTGCTTGGAGGTGGGTCTCCCAGCCTGCACGCTGGGAGATGACCGCCACTGCTCTTCTAAGATGGGTTTTGAAGGACTTCTTCCCTTCCCTGTTTTTGAACACTAGAAATGCCACCGTGTGTGTGCTTTAAATGCCTGTGTTGTACTACCGCCTACTGATGGGCTCGGGGCACCATTCCCACCACATAGCTCATCCCAAATCGGTGCCTTCGGCTCTTTGCCTCGGTTCTCCAGCTAAAACCACTATTCTGTCTTCCATGCCATAAACTAGTTCTCCACTTACTCGATCATCTTTCTCCACTACTTTTTATGAGGGCTGGTTAGAGGAAAAAAAAAAAAGTCACACATGTTCCTTGTTCATCTTTAACCATGACCCCAGTATGAATTATTCTGCTGACTCCAGGAGAAGAGGA